TCGTAGCTTGAACATAGCGTTAAATAGACTGCAAAATTCTGGAAGGTGACTTTTTCGATTGTATCCCTTTCGCCAAGCGGCTAATAATGGTCTTTACTTGGTTTGCATTTAGAGAATTAATTCAGAGAATTAAGATGGCAAATGTGACGTTCAAGTTCGCCCCAAAGATGTTTAATGGGTTTGAGATATGGTGATTGTGCTGACCAAGGAAGATGGATGAAATCAATTTAATGTTTTTTCAAATCATTATCAGACAAATTGGATGAATTGTTACATCATTTGTTGTCATGAAATAGCCCTTGTTCTTCAGGGCAGAAAGACAGCGCTGTGATGTGAACACGGTCGGAGACTTAATAAGGGTACACTTTTGATGGAATTTAAAGTAATCAAATGGCCCAATCTCTTCACAAGAACATTCCTCACTCCTTTACACCACCTCCAGCAGCTTGTACTGTTGGAATAATAAAAGCGTGGTCAAATGGTGTTTGATGGTGATTTCGATAAATTGAAACTCGTGCTCCTGGAGCTAATAAATTCCATTGCTGTAAACAAGAGCCAAAAAGTTTGACATGATGCTTTGATAGAGACAAGTCATGAATCAGATCAGTTAGCTCTTTTTATGTGATCAAATGAGGCAGTTTATGTTGAGATGCTACAGAAATGAAATTACCAGATGAAGAGGATGAAGATGATTCATTGTCGTCTTCGCAAGATAACTCTTCTGTTTCCCAATTTGCTGATGGATGTGGCACTGGAAGATCATCTTCATGAGGTACTGGTTTCATTGCAGATGCAATATCTGGATATTTAATGTATTGTTTAATTTTGCCTAAATATCCAGAAACGCCCATTTTAAACCCAAAATAGTGATAGTAAGCTACCTTTACTATGTGTGTGACGTTTTTCCTTCGTGAAACTGTAATATGTTTTCCACAAATGTAGCAGAAACTGTTTGGGTGATTTTTTGCACTTTCAGGCTTTACTTGAACTGGATGAAACCAGCATTTCAAATGATTTTCTACAAAATGCGAAATAATTTATGTTT